TTTTTGAGTCAATCGATAGGTAATGACGAGACGAATACATTTCAGTTAAAATTTTTTATCTAGCATAAAAATTGTGGGCGTCACAGGTTTTCGCGGTTTGTGGGCGTTAAAGTGGGCGTGGCAAACTTTTTTTTAGGTCAATCGATAGGTATTGATGAGAACATTACATTTCATTTAAAATTTTTATTCTAGCATCAAAACTGTAGGAGCCACAGTTTTGGGCGGTTTGTGGGCGTTAGAGTGGGCGTGGCACTCTACTGAAACAAACTTGCGCTGCGCAGGAATCTCAGGAATCTGCGTGCCTAATCCCAGTATTGTAACTCTCATAGTTTCCGAGATCTCAGCGTTCATACGGACAGACGGACAGACGGACAGACGGACAGACGGACATGGCTAGATCGACTCGGCTAGTGATCCTGATCAAGAATATATATACTTTATGGGGTCGGAAACGCTTCCTTCTGCCTGTTACATACTTTCCGACGAATCTAGTATACCCTTTTACTCTACGAGTAACGGGTATAAAAATTAATTGTTTTACTATAACAAAAAAAGTTTAAATAAATTTGGTAATTTAATTAACTCTATTACGGTTTCGCGTAACCAAAAACTAAACTTATGACAAAGATACTATTTTTGGTTATTCATTTACCTCTGCCTTCAAGTGGCAAGCATTGAGAATTGGACAAAAGTTAGTAACAACAAAAATAAGATCATTAAAAGGAATTACCTGGAGAAGGCAACCAGCGGATCGGCCTGGTAGTATGAGAGTTCCCCGTGCATGTAGGATGCAGACTTGCGCAGCACCGTGATCTGCCTGTAGGTCTCCTCGGTGATATTCTGGTAAGCCACAGCGCCCACAGGAACCACGGGCACACCGGGCAGCAGGGATACGAACATGGCCAGAGCGGATGGATCCTGCGGGGTGTCCAGGCTGACGTCCGCGAAGTTCCATTGCAACCAGCTGTTTTTGCCCGACAGATCGAATGTGTTCTCCAGATCTTTCTGCAGCGATTTCTTTGGCTTTGGTTCGCTGAGCACCTTGACAAGGTCTCCGTAGATGGGTATATCGATACCATAGGCATCGGGAACCGTGCTCAGCTTGTAGGCCTGCGGCTGTATGACATCCTCGGCAACCGACAAGAAGCCCTCTTCAGAGGCATTCTTTACGATGCTAAGATAATCATAAAGCACATCTCCAAGGCCGGATTGGAAAGTAGTCTGCTTGTGGTCGTAGAAGCCGTAGTCACCGGGTCCCCAGTTTCGGTCCTTCGGCACCGCTGAGGTCACCTCATTCTCGAGACCGTCGGACAGTACAAAGAACTTCGTGTTCTTCAGGCGGAAGCCGTGAACGCCCAATCCAACCAGATGCTTCAAGACGCCGCCGAATTCGTTCCTAATGAAAGTACTGTTCATCTTGAGGTCGAAATAGCCGTCCTGGAACTGCGAGAGCACATAGCTGTCTTCCAGCTTCTCCCAGGCGCTGCGGTTGCCGCCCACCTTGAGCCAGTTGTTGGGCGGGCTGGATCCCCCGCTCACCCAAACAAAGGCGGATCGCTTCTCTGGGTTGGCAATGGCATCCTGCACCAGTTGCGATTCCTTGGCCACGTAGTTGGGCGTCAGATCGAGAATAATCCTGGTATCGCTGCCCTGGTACAGGGCCACCAGGTGCTTGATTTGCTCCTCCACCTCCGGCTTCTTCACGTCATAGGTCAGGGAAGCAGGCAACTCATAGATGGCTCCTGCGCTCACGATCTTCTTGGCAACCTGGATATCCTCCCTACTGCAGCTATCAACGCTGCCGAACTTGGCATGTGGTCCACGCTTGTACCAGGGTAATGGCTGCGGGGCAGCGCATTTGGGTGCTCCAATGATAATCAGGATGGCACCCACAAGCATTCCCACCCAAATGGCCCAGAATCCCACGAAGAAGATCCAGCGCAATCGGACCCAGAAAGGGTCGTTGGCATACTTCATGAGCTCCTCCTTGCTCATGCCAGTGAAGGCCTGCAATGAGGAAAGACGAGATTACAGAAAATCAAATTACTCAGGCTTTGAACAACAATGTGACGAGTAAAAATTAAATGAGTTTGAATTATACGCTAAGTTAAAAAAAAACACAAATTAGCGAATTAAACAGAAACTCTACAACATGTCATTTTACTCTTATTGAGGACATTTTCTGGCATATTTATATATATCTGTGTTTGTATGTTCAAATCCATTTTGGTTTCGACTTATTTATAAATTAATAATAATAAACATTTACTTCAATCCTGAATTCAAGAACAAATTTTGTCAATTAATAAAAGAAGAATCAATAAAAGGGAATGTAGAATACATATGTATGTACATATATTCAAAGAAAGTGTGTATTTTTATTAAAGGTCAAGACAAAGTCGACGACCAGAAACAAAATTTGAATACAGTGTAGCATCCAAAACGCGAACTTCGTTAACTCGAAATATTAATTATTCAAAAATTAAAAATTCTTTTTTTCTTGTCATATGTATATTATCAATTTTGGCTAACAACGACTCCATTTTAAAAGTTGAATCAATAAAGCATAATAGTTAGAACTTCTACTCACGGGCTTGCCTCCGTTGACGGTTCCGATGTCGATCTTGGCATCTCCGTTCTGGTGATCGCCCTTGACGAACTTCACCTCATCCCGGCGCTCGGCCAGCTTGTCCTCCACTCCATTCAGGCCCAACATCTGCTCGTCGGCGCCATCCCCGTGGGCCACCTTCTCATCCTGGACCATGTCGACTGAAAAGTGATCGATTTAACAATAGAATGGTTAATTGGCTCTAATCAGATTCAATTAAGCTTAAATGCAAAGCTCAAGCATTGAGACTTTCTCTAGAGAACTGAGTCGAGCTTTGTTAGGTTAAGTAGAAATCAGAAGCCACACTTCGCTTTGTTTCCGAGAGAAGGGAATGGGAAATTTTCCATCTGGAGTTTCCTTATGAATATCTTGCTGACGTCATAGGAAAAGAGCCGCGCTTTGAGTTTGCGCTTGATGAGAAATTGGCTCGCTTTTGTTCTGGGACAAAATCAATATCATTTTTGTTTTCTGTACACCTTTCTTATCTCACGTTACTGATAAGGGGTACCCACACACCCACCATTACCCCATGCACATTCAAAACTGCCACGATAGGTGACCTTTTATAGATATATAGATACTTAGATACATTTTTTTGAACGTTTCCAGTGGAAATTCGACGCATTGTTACGTCAGCCATCCCATTTTTCCCAGATGTAGATACAATTGCTTTGTTTAATTACCTTTTTCGGGGTTCGCACTGGCTCCCAGGAATTTATCTTCGGCTATAGTTTTGTACACTTCTGTGGAATCGGGTGGGGTTTCAGCAGCTGCGTTGATTGTACTATCAGACACGCCTAAAATTAGAGCACCAGGATTTTTAGTGTCGAGCGTTGAAAATGTGCGGATGTGCGGATGTCAAAATATTTTATGAATGCACGCCAGTGTGACCGCGGAATCATCTGTCAACTATACCGTTCGGCGCGAAAAATTTACATTTTTTATAAATTTACCTATTTTTAAAATACCCCAAACGGTCACTCTTTAAAGAAATGAAATCCAACCAACTAACAGAGCAATTGGAAGACCCTTGGCCTTGTTGTCAGCCGCCATCTATAACAGCCCGCTTACTTATAAGACATTTAAAACTTCGAAAAGATAAGAAAAAATAGGGGGAAAAATATAGAAAAAATATATCGTCCGGCGAAAATAAATATATTTTGTATGCCTTTTTTTATGTTGCAAGCGGTCACTGTAAAGTCCAAGCAACTAACAGAGCCCAATTGGAACATCTATGTTAACTTTTCAGTACACTGCTATCGTTGTTCTATCAACATCTTGCAACGGTCATACTATTTTCAATTCTTTTATTAGCACATTTTAAAGAACTCTGATAAAAGCCCGTCGCTGCAAAACTAAAGGGCGGGAAACTTGAATTGTTCGTTCATTAAAACTTACCAGTAGGTGGAAGTGTGACAGAATTCTGAAATAAAAGTGTTTTTAACTTTAGAATTTAAAACTTATTTGATTGATTTTACTTACTTTGCTGGTACCACCACCCAAACGTTTTAAGCGTGATAATAGATTCATGGCAATGGTTTTTACTCAGAGCTTTATTGGGTTTCTTTTGTTTTTCTGTAAGTAAAAAGTAAGTATAAATCAAAATTTGTTGCTTTAATTTCAATAAATGATACAATTGGGCAGGGAATTAACATTTTCTTTGTATTAAAAAAATGGTTTATTTAGTTAAAATCAAGCTGGTTATGTTGAAGCTAAAATCAAAACTCGTTTATAATATGCAGACATTTCATCTTTAAAGCATAAATTAATATACAGAACCGAATACAATGTCTTGAACGATAATAGTCTAAGCTATTTCACCATAAACTAGTCACATTTATTTGCTATTTTCGGCACTGACTGGTATTTTTCACTGCGACCTGCCCGACAAGAGGTCTGATTCGCGACTGAAGCTGCATTTTTGCGCTGGCAGTGCATCGCTCCCAGAGGCACAGCCCCGATCGGAATCGCTCCTCGAGTTTGATTTAATTATACATGTGAACGAAACGCGTTCCGTGTGCGTAAGTACGATTTATGGCCTGCGGCGATTGAGCCGGGCCCAAAACTACCTGTCTGCGTGGCAGCTTACCTGAGCTCTCTCGCTCGCCCAACTGCCAAAGTGGTGGATTGGATCGGGTTTTGTGGCCCGCCAGCCAGACCAGGGAAAAACTGCACTCGTCGGCGCATTCCTGAACAAATTTTTGCTGAGTTGCCGGGTGTCTGAAGAAGAGTCTGCCGACTCGACAAGGTTGCCTCGGCTAGAACTTAAATTAGAGTAGTTGGGCCAAACAGAAATTGATCAATTTCTCCATTACCCCGCATTACCTTTGTCCGATTAGGCGACATGCGAGCGTCATTAGCTTATTAAGTGGGAGCTATATATATGGCAAACAGGTGCCTGATGCCCCATTAACTTGACAAAATGGGTTTCCACATGGGACGACAGCTGCTGCTCTCCGGATTCCTGCTGGTGATGCTCCAAGTGGTGACCCAAACGCAGGCCAGGCCACAGGTGACTAGCGAGGATTATCAATTCAAATCTGAGTGTTTCATCCCACAAACAGGATGTGATCACAGTGGCCGGCGAGGAGACAGAGGTGGTCATTAAGCAAGAGGGCGATGGCGATGACGACGACTCCTCCTCCGAGGAAACTGTGGAGGATTCAGAGGAGAACAGACGCAGGCGGCGGGAGGTGAACACCGACAATACCCCGTTGGGTCGAGCGGTCATTCCAGGTTTGCCAGATCCGGCCACCATAATCAAGATCGCTGAGCTTTTTCAATCCGTAGGCGAGCAAATAGTCCCCATCCTGGTGGAGGCTATTCTGCCCAGCGTGGATGAAGCGGGCGATCGCTTCGCCAGATCCCTGCAGTTCCTTAAAAACTTCGGACCCGGACTGGAATCTTTTGCAACCGAGAAGAACGAATAGCCCAGCTAACTATATAGTGGCACAAAGTGAAAGAACTCGTTTGACTTTGGTATCTGGACAGTGGATTAGACTAGGATGTCGTTTGGTTTCTTGAGTTTCTTAAAAATAAAATCGTTGACCTACTTTTACTGTTATGGTACAACTCAAATAATAATGGTAAAAACCAGACTTTTGTGAAAATTAATAATATTTATTCTCGCAATCAAAATTGCTGCGTTATTTTATATGCTTCGTCTCCACTACTTCGTTATCCGCACTGGTAAGAACATAAACACTATGGAATCCAGGTCTTTCCCTGCATTTTCTTTCAAACCGCCCAAATATAATGTCAATGACGACGTCCACGGCTTCCGACAGGCTCCCTCCACATAGAAGTATTTCCGTAAAGACTCTGTGGATAAGTGGGTGGATGGGTTTGTCCAGACACACTTCGTTAAGTCGATCCAAAATTCCTCCGATCATGCCACGAATCACGTGGCTAACCAAATTCTTTTCCTTAAATATATCCTGGCAGTGATTATACATCTTTTCCGTAAGATCGCCCAATTTAAGTTTGCTTTTTGCCGCTGCCGCTGTCGTTGCCGTTGCAACTTCAGTAGCCCCTGCAGTTTCATTAGTTCTGCCTCTAATGGAAGCATGCTTTGCTTTTACCAAACTTCGGTGATGCCCTCTCAGAGCTGTTCTACTAGCTTCCGAAATTTTGGGTTGAATAACTAGTAGTGTGCAGAATATAAATACGATGGCGTAGAGTCTCTGAAAATTGAATAAATTTAATTCCACTACAATACATATGACTTGATAACTTCCAGAGAACTACATTACCATCTTTATCGTTTTCCGTTCTAATTCCAATTGATATTCATCTGCTGATCTCGAAACGGTTTTCGTTTCGCTTAATTATGATGTTTTGCTTAAAGGCCATAACTAATATTTTAAAACTGACAATTTAACACCTCTTTTAATAAATTTGTTTTGTTTATTTTCTAATTTGGTATGATATATTTTTCTTATAAGTAGTAACATCATTTGGTTTTCCGTAAATCTGTACAGAACCCTCATAAAAACTCATATTGGTTTCAAATGTGATAATGAAGGCTTTGAAAGCATTCTCAGTATTCGGTGATCATGTGCGTGTTCTTAATATTCCCAATTGAGTGTATCTTCATTAAGGCCCTAGGTAATAAGACTCGATCGGAAGCTGTTCATTAGCTCCTAATGAAATAATTATGCGAGGCGCCTTGTTCATGTTCCTGTCTGCTTTCTGAAAACAATGTATTGGTTAATAATTTGCATAAACTCAAAGTACAAGGTTCTGCTGGATCGTTTTTTCCAAGGCCTGCATCAGAAGATGTATGCCCATACATTTTCTCATTAACCTTAATGACCTGACATGCCTACAATTCCTGCAAAAATTTTACTTTGTTTTTCTGACTTCTTTTGGGGGCGTGGCTACTTAATATCACCCCGTTCCAAGGTCAAATACCTTTATGTTGAACCTTGTTTTGAAGTTTCAAGCATTTTTTCTACTCCAAGTGTGTACACGAATTGCAGGTTATCAGATCAAAATGAGTATGTTGTTGTTGATATTGAAAATAAAATAATTTTAAGATATTGTTTAAGCGTCGAATAAGGTTTATTATTTAATAAAGACATAAATCTTCCCACAATTAAGCATCACCCAAAAATTAAAAATTCAAAGATTTTTGAGTTAATTGCGACTTTTATTTAATTTGGGAGAATATTTCTTTTACCTTTTAAAATATTTCTCTATCTTGGTAAAGTATTTACTTTTTTCTTATTTATTTTAAAAGTCCCCAAAATCCTCAAAATGTTTACAGTTTAGGACGAATACTTTTGAGTGTATTAAAGACAGTAAAATATGTATCGCTATTCAGCTGAATACCATCTATGAAAATACATATCAATACATATGAAACGCCAAAAAAATATAAACATTCTTCATTTGTTCTTTCAGACTAAGCTTTATCACGCAAATATTTTAGAAATGATTTTGGCAAATTTAAAAATAAGTCTTTCTTAAGACTAATAGCATTGTCCTTCAGGCAAGCTAAAGAATATATTTTCTTATGCTCATTTTGAATAAGCGACAAAGAAACATAATATAAACCTCTTTCATAATTTGAAAATGTTGGTTTCTCAGTATGATGTAATGTTTTTTTCGACTGAAACTATAAGCCAGTTAAATTCGTCTGTCGAAACTGACAATAAAAAGTTCTCCTACTCTTCTTTTTCAGATTTCTGAGAGAGAATTGTCCACTGAATAAAAGAATTTGTGTCTCATGCCAACTTTCTTTGACAGATAAAAAGCTTTGGCCAAAATTAGCTTTCTATCAGCTAGGCATCAATGTTTTCTCTAAAGTGGCTTTGACAATTATTTCTAGATTTAAACGAAGCAGTCAAAAGGGATGAGCACACACCGCATACGGGACATTACATAATAAATCTCCCTGCGAGCGTTACAATAGAGCCAAACCCGAATCAGCTGAACCAACAACAAGAGTTGGCCAACAGAATAGCAATTGATCCCTTAAGTATGCTATAATTTGCTTCTGGTACTTTAGGGTTAGCATTGTGTTGCATACTTTCAAGCGAAATGTCAAATGAAATGTCAAGCCATTTTACAGCTTTTTTTTTTTTACATGCGCATTTCGGGGATTTACACACCTTGAAAATTTTACGTGCGCTTTTTGGAGATTTACGTTGAAATGTAAAAAGCAAAGCAAAAAGTAGAAAACGCCCTCGGTGGCCAGATTTGTCCCTACTCAACTTTCGTCATTCAATATATTTATGCTTCCACAATTTAAAAATTTAACGATTTCAAAATTAGCCCCAATCCAAAACAAAAGTAGATAATGAATATTAATATATATAACTGTTTATTCAAAAAGGTCAGGGAAGGACTCGTCAGCTATGAGACTCATTAAGTCGCCAACGGTCTCCGGCTCCGCGATCGGCTCTGCGCCTTGGGGGTTTATAAAAGCCTGTATAAGGAAATGGAAAGTTATAACCAAATAATATACAATATATATATCCACTTACCATTCTTTTCTTATGAATCGAGCTCGACTTGTGCAGTCTTAAGTTGCGCTGCTCGACGAAAGTGCAGCCACACTCGCAGGCATATTTTTTTTCGTTTGTAATTGGCGGATGTTTTGAGCCTTAGCTCCACAGATTGGACACAAAGATTTTGCCTTCGAATTAAAAAACTTATCGATCCTCTCCTTTTCCTGGTCCAACTTCTCATGTTCTACTAGGGCTTTGTGGCTGTGGAGGATGACGCCGCACTCAAAGCAGTCATGCACTTTCTCTAGTTTGTCCCGGTAGACCTTGCGGATCTCATCCACGTTTAGTCCCCATGTCTTGGCTTGTGGGAACCATGAGACCTCGCCTGCCTTTAGGTCCTCGGTGTTTCGTACTGAAAAATAAGGAAGATTGTACATACTCATGGAGTAATAGGAATGAGCTTACTGTGGCTCAGAGGCTGCAACGGCGACGAGTGGGCGAGGGTCTCGGGTGAGCCATGGAGAGTTGTTGAGCTGGAGCCACTGGCCTCCAGCTCCTCGAAGGGTGACTGAGGATGGAAAGTTGTTGAGCTGGAGCCACTGGCCTCCAGCTCCTCGAAGGGAGAGTGAAGATGGAAAGTAGTTTCGCTGGAGCCACTGGCCTCCAGCTCCTCGAATGAGTTAGATTTCCGTCCTTTTTTTCCGGGTGTCTTAGGCTGGAATGCAATCAAATACATATGTAAAATTAAATATATAAGAAAAGACTCTATAAAATATTCTATATCCCAGAGTTAAAGAAAATACGATCAATATCAAAGCACAATTTATTAAAAATAATTATTTTAATAATTCTCAGACCGTTTCTTTGACAGCTATATGATGTAGTCGTCCGGTTTTGATACAATTTAAATCGAAATCCAAAACTAATTAAAAATTGTATTTCCAGGCGTAGGAGGTTATATTATGCTGATCAAGAATATATATACTTTATGAGGTGCAAACTTCTGACTTAAATCATAATACCCTCTGCAAGGGTATACAAATGTGGCCCTACCTCTTCTTCTTCTTCCCTCCGTCTCTTGGGGACACGGCCAGAATTTGCATCTCCGGCTGGCTCGGACAATTCCTTCAAAGACTTCAACACGTCCAAAATGGAGGTGTTGAGAAAGAGCGCCTCCGATCCCTTGATCTCTAGCACAACATCTTTGTTGTGGTACTTCAAATCCATATTAGAAAAATAGAACTCTGTATAATAGAACAAATTGTTTCCAGCAAATTTCCAATTATTTTTGCACACTGGTTTTATTATTTTCTATCGGTATCGGGTTTTCAAGCTTATCATTGGCGACTCACCATCAACTGATTAGCTTGATTCGCAAAAGTCAATGGAAAAAACAAAGTATTTAAAAGAATTCATTATTTTTTAAGAATAGAATAGAAATGCCATTGTTCACTTAATCTGCAAATTCAAAGTCGATTTCCGATAGGTACTTTAGCAAAATAAACAGTAGTTTTCTATCATCCTTCCCAACACTGGCATGGCTTTCTTTTTGTTTACAATTTTGCAAGCGGGACGACGAGATGGACGTGGATGAATCTTACGAGCTCCTAGAATCTGGTAATTTTGATGTTCCAGATATTGATGCAATGCAGGTATTACATGCCGTTAAATTTTTTAATCATTTACAGCTGCCTAAAAGGCGCTGGATAGAAGAGGTGTCGGCGGCTACACTATCTTGGGCTAATGAAAAGATTAGCAAAGGATCCGTCTCTCTACTGGGAAGCCTGAATGCCAGGTGGGATTGGACGAAGCCCTTCAGCCTCCTGGTCGACGAGCTATGGCTACCGAAGGTAAGTTTTTATTTGTTTTAAGATAGTAGTGTAGTTATACCCGTTACTCGGAGGAAAGGGTATGGGTATATTGGATTCGGCGGAAAGTATGTAACAGGCAGAAGGAAGCGCCCATAACGCCCATAATGTCTTCCGCCCACATATATGTTATAACCATATATTGATTTGAATCAACCATTTTCTCAGATTCCAGAGACTGAAATAAGTTACAGGGCATCCACCTACGCCATGCAGACCTTCGATGGGTCTCACTTTCAAATAGTATTTATTGAAGTTGTCCTTCGAAATACGGGCGAACGTATTAACAATGTGTTAAATTTAATTATTAACTTTTTAAAAGATAAAAATGTTAGTCATCTCTTGCTGGCGGTTATTTCTGACAACAATCCAATTAATGCTAAAAGGGAAGATTCTCAAGTCCCAAGACTTTGGGATTATAATCATTTAAAAGCAATAACAAATGTTTCGTTTACAGAAGTCTTATTAGGAGACTTGTATACAAAACCACTCTTCAAAGATAGTTTCAAAGACGTTTTTAAAAAATTTTTTGATTTGAATGAGACTACCACGCCATCTTATTTTAGGGACACTTTAAAAACAGAAATTTCTAACCTTCAGATAGCAACCTCTAGATTTTTTAACGTCTCGCCAGGGCCAGATGTTCTATTCCAGGCCCGCTATTTGAAAAACGATACCCTCGAGTCAGTAGGCCAGAGGTGGAGGATTGGCCTTAAATCAGCTTTGGAGGACCTTAAAATAACGAGAAATCAACTCGAGTCCCAAGGTGCGGAATTTTACCCACGGATCTGGGCGTCCTTTGCGGCATTGGAATTTCGAGTTGACATATTAAAGGGAGTTAACGATGAAACTGGACCAACTAGGAAAGACCAGAGCACGCAAACGGATGGATGATTTATATAGCATAGTAAAGTAGTAGTATATTATATAGTTTAATATAGTTTAATATGTATTTCATATAATACTCATTTTATTTTAGTTTTTGATTTGAAACTAACATTTTTATTTTATTTTACTTTCTCAAAATGTAAATGTGTTACAAAGTCGATTAGGCCTCTTGGGGATACGAGTATAAAAAAAACGCGCCTACACCTCTACCTCCAAGGTGGTGTGGAGAAGAGCATCTTTGTTTCCTTTCTTTTCAGGATCAATGTATGATAGAGGAGCCAGGATCCCTAGGCCATAATCAAATCGATATCGCGCGCTGGACATATTTATTAACAGCATTGCAGAACATGAATTTCATTGATTTTATTGGCATTTTTTATTTTTAGCATAGGATGTCGCATCTCAGGGAATTGGGGCGACTACTAATCGCCGTGACCTTCTTCACGTGCGGAATCTTCGTCAACATTGGACAGCTTTTGCTGATTATTCTTGTGAGACCCTTCGACAAGCGACTCTCTAGAAGTCTTATGTACTACCTCCATTACTCTTTCTACAGCAGTAAGTAAGTATAAAATATATAATTTTAAAAAAATGTTTTGGTTTTTGTCACATTTCCGGAGAGAATAGTTCATGATAAGGTTAGCAAAATTGGTTTAGTTTCAATGTTTTTCAAGTTAAAAATATGCTTTTCTTCTATATTTAGACTTTTCTTTTAAAGTTTTCTAATAAGATCATTTAACAAAAGAGCATGAAGCTTATAAACCCTTATTAAAACATGAAATTGAGTTTAAAACAAGTATATTAATGTAGATACATAGAAATCAGGAATTTTATAAGTATTTTAATATATTTTTTAAATGTTCTCCCTTCTTAGTCCTAGTCTGTGTGGCGGAATGGTATGCAGGCAGCAAACTGCTGGTCTACATTGATCCCGAGGACGAGAAAAGGTTCTTTGGCAAGGAGCACGGACTGTTGCTGATAAATCACACGTACGAGACTGACTGGCTAACCGCTTGGATGATCACGAACTTCGACCGCAACTTCGAGAAGGACAAGATAGTGATCAAGAGTCAGCTTACGGAGGTGTTTTCCCATCCGGATCCGGTGTGGCTGTTACTCAATGCTGAGGGCACTCGCTTCACTGCCGCCAAGCACGAGTTGTCCGTGAAGTTTGCCCAGGAACGAGGTCTTCCCGTGTTCAAGCACCAAGGGATTCACCACCAGTCTTCCAACCATGCGGGGCATCTGTCCTGCCATCTACGACATCAACCTGGCCTTCAAGAAGAATGCTGAGGTAAGGACTTTTAATTTGTTCGTGCTAGACAGAAAAAGGTGTTTAAGTTCCATTGAAAAATCCAAAGTAATAATTTTATATTGCAGAAAATAGATAACACACAAAAGTATATCAAGATCAGTAGATAACTTTTAGTGATTTTAAAGGCAACTTAACTGAATGAAAGAAGTATAATAATTTTGTAAAATCATTTTATTTAAAATTTATTTTTTTACTGACTAAAGAGCAAAGTCATTTTTACTTGCTTTTCTCAAGACCAGAAACATATCCAAAACATTCCAAGACAAAAGAAAGTGTGTTTTGTACGTTTAATCTCGAATTTATTTATAAAATAAAAACACATTTCTTTTGTTCAAAACAATCCATAGAAATAATATACACGTATTAAAAGCGTCGCTTGCATAACCAAAAATACAAAAGTGTAGAGCGATAGATACGTAAAGCAGATACACTTGGCGAACGAGCCGTGGAATGGTATAGACCATCGCCTCGTCCCCAAAGGGTGTATTTAAAAGTATTAAAATTAGATGAACGCCGAACTCGCCGAGAGTGCCACTGAAATCCTCAGCAGCAATGAACGATCTATGTACATGCACATGGATGACGGGATGTGGATAGTATTGGGGTCTAAATGTGGATATGAAGTATTATTATTTGAGAAATGATCGGTAGACAGAGCAGTTGGCCAGCGATCACCAGTGTGATCCCTACGTGCGATCACCATGGATTGTCCATGAAATAATGTTTTTGTTTCCTTGTCTTTAATCTTGATGCGAATTCGATTTGGCTTAGATGTAGGCTTGGACTCCCTATGCTTACGTTTAATTTAAATGTACGGTAATTTAATTGGTAGCGTAATTAATTTATGCTTATGTGTGTTTCATGTTTGGCTGGCTGGCTGGTTGGCTGGCGGGGCTCACTTGTTGCCGGCGTTCACGAGGACGCGCTGTCTCGTGGAGGAGTTCAGGGCCGGATTGCACATATCCGTGGTGAACTTCGAGAAGGAGTTGTGGAAGCCGTTGGCCTGGCCGTTGCGGGTGGGCGCCACATCGCCGTCCTTCAGCGCCTTGACGTGTCCGTTGGCATGTCCGTTCGCCTTGACCGCCGGTTTGTCCTGAAAAGCAGAAGAATTTAGATGAGTTACATTTTTTGAATATGTCAAAATAGGTGAAGAAGAGTATGTTGCTACAATTTGTCGTTAAAGACTTTCTTATCAATTTCATTACTTAACATTTTTTTTGATAAAGGCTGATTCATGGATTAAAATATTTATAATTTTTTAATGTTGTCACTTTTGCAAAAAATGTATGGACTTAAAAGAGAAACTTTCAAAATTTTAAATTAACAAAAAACAGATTGGAACCATAAACAACTATTACAATAGCTTAAACTACTTTTTGTAACTTAAAAATTCTAAAAATAGATGAGGTTAAAATACAAAAATTTCATGAGCTTATTGAAGAAAAAACAAATGAAAAGTAAATTGAATTTTTATACCCGTTACTCGTAGAGTAAAAGGGTATACTAGATTCGTCGGAAAGTATGTAACAGGCAGAAGGAAGCGTTTCCGACCCCATAAAGTATATATATTCTTGATCAGGATCACTAGCCGAGTCGATCTAGCCATGTCCGTCTGTCCGTCTGTCCGTCTGTCCGTCTGTCCGTCTGTCCGTATGAACGCTGAGATCTCGGAAACTATGAGAGTTACAATACTGGGATTAGGCACGCAGATTCCTGAGATTCCTGCGCAGCGCAAGTTTCAGTAGAGTGCCACGCCCACTCTAACGCCCACAAACCGCCCAAAACTGTGGCTCCTACAGTTTTGATGCTAGATAGAAAATTTTAACTGAAATGTAATGTTCTCATCAATACCTATCGATTGACCCAAAAAAAATTTGCCACGCCCACTTTAACGCCCACAAACCGCAAAACCCTGTGACGCCCACAATTTTCATGCTAGATAAAAAATTTTAACTGAAATGTATTGGTCTCGTCAATACCTATCGATTGATCCAAAAAAAAATTTGCCACGCCCACTTTAACGCCCACAAACCGCAAAACCCTGTGACGCCCACAATTTTCATGCTAGATAAAAAATTTTAACTGAAATGTATTGGTCTCGTCAATACCTATCGATTGATCCAAAAAAAAATTTGCCACGCCCACTCTAACGCCCATAACGATTAAATCTGTATACCGCCGGTAGGTGGCGCATTTTAATCTCGCTTTGCTGCTTGCATATCTCCATTTAGCTGAGTAACGGGTATCTGATAGTCGAGGTACTCGACTATAGCGTTCTCCCTTGTTATTGCTTAAAATCGTTTAAAATTAATAATATATAATCGTTGAAAAGGTTTTTAAGGCCTAGAAGTTTTACAGAACTTTGTTTTATACATATTTTCCTCTTCTGATAAAATCTACCAACATCTAGCAAATGTAATGAGCTTACCTTGCCGTCGCGCTTCACATAGGCGCGCTTGTAGAAGTTTGAGAACAGGAAGTAGAACATCACCGCATGGGCTCCGATGAAGTAGGCGAAGCCAATGGGGTAGTTGCAGTCGTTCTTGAAGAACAGCTGGAACGAGTGCACCATGACCAGGACAAACTGGATCATCTGCATCACCGTGAGGTACTTCTTCCACCACAGGTACTTCTGCACCTTGGGGCCCATCGCGGCCAGCATGTAGTAGGCGTACATGAAGATGTGCACGAAGGTGTTCAGGAAACCGAAGAAGGTCGAGTGGCCGCCGGGCGTGAACTTGACGCCCCACCAGACGGACACGGGCATGATGCCGTGGTGGATCACGTGCAGCGTGGACACCTGGTCGTACCGCTTGCGCATCACGAAGAAGAACGTGTCGAAGAACTCGGTGAACTTGGAGAAGTAGTACCACCAGCAACCCTCAGCGGTCTAAAAAGGAAGGGGGTAAATGTTATTACTAAAAAAATAAGTAATAATAATAGCAAACATTAATAAAAATAATAATCATTCTTAAATACATTAAATGGATTGGTCTCTAAATCTCTAAACGCTTCTAAAAAATATTTTTGATATCTGAAAAAGCTTTCGTTTTTGCACCGTACGAAATTCTCTAACAATTTATCCAGAATCCTAGTTCAAACTAGTATCTAAGATTATTCACTTCCAATTTTTCAGCCATTCATTGTTATGCAAAGAATGGTCACAGCTTGGTTAGATTGATTCCGTTTGCCCTGGAACTAACCGTTGGACAAGCTCCATGCTTATCAATAACGAAAAATGGGTGATTTGCAAAATCTTTCGCCTGTCAACTTTCTAAGACTGCCACTTTCTTTGGGTCGTTTACCCAGTTTAGCCAGCCTGGCGACACACGTGAGATTCCTCAATCCGCAAAATCCACTGGCCACACAGCCGGCCGGCTTTCGGTATCCATTTCTTGTGATTAGCATAAGAGAACCTGTCGCTATTGTCGTTTTTTATAATTCCTTGACTCTGCGTGGCTAAAAACTGGTTGCTTACATAAAATCTGTTCCAGTCAACAAAAGAACTTTGCTATTTGCCAACCATAAGCTAAAAATCAAAATTTATAGCCCGATGTTTGGCTAAATGTATGTATTTGCTTAGCTCGGTATATAAGAGCATGCATATATACTTACGCGAATCGCTTTGGGCGAGTAGGAATAATTAACGGGTTCGCATCGCAAGTTATAGCCATTCAGCCATCCACCTATACAGGACTATAAATGCGAAAGAAGGGAAAAAGTGGTTATTTTTCTGCGGAATTCATTCAATAAAGATTGCTTATATTACCTCGTAAAAGAGCCAGGCACTGAAGATAACCTGTGCTGCATTATAGACGATCAAGACTTTGCGGAGCTCGAAAGGCTTTCTGTTTTCCATGAGCTTGGGTCCAAGTACCTGAAATAAATCGTTGATCAGTACCACTATAAGTGCATCTTCTTCACGTCGGATTTTAAAAAAATGTCTTCGCGTGTCATTTAACATAATCAAACAGATGCCAAAGCCTGTTGCAGCAATTATCAAATCAAATCAATCGACGCGACCGACTTTGTCTGTTGGTTTTGTGACAAGTTCGTTGCCTAAGTCTTTTGTTTGGCCAGACACCGCTGCTCACCTTCCCTCCCCTCTTCCCCGTTCGATTTTAGCAGACATGTGAAAGTAAGTTAAATGCTTTTGTAAAATTATGAATGTGAACCAATGCAAAGCGGGAAACCTAAATAGAAATCGTTTTTCGAATTGATTTTTTGTTCAATTTTGCATAATCGCGGTCTGTGCTTGGGTCACCTTTCGACACCAGCTCTTCGAGATGATCGTCGGATGGCCCTGAACCCCAACTGGGGTTTCACAGTCATTTTGCAATGCAATAAAGCGAAACTAGTTTGCGAAAAGGATCCGCACAATCAGCAGATGAGAATCTGCCAGTTATGGTCTACGAAATCAGCGTAAATTGCCCCCATCGGTATGATGTTCTGTTGTGTTCTGTTCTGTTCCGTCCATTTTTAGTTCGATCCCCACTCCAATAATTATGGATCGGTGATTCCCCGATCCCGGACCACTTACCTTCACGATATAGGCGTATGTCAGACTGATGGCTATCGTGGGGAACGGCGAGCTCATTAGCGGGTAGTCTCGTGTTCGCGGGTCCGATTTGTTGTCCATCAGATCCCGCCAGCCGTCGTAGAACATTGTGAGGTAATCCTGCAAGTGAAAAGACCAGATAGATAACAGATTAGTCATGTGTGCCCACTGGGAGTGGTTAATCACCGAGGCCGTTTGGCGGGCTCAAGTGTCAAATCAATAAATCTGCGGTTGAGTATTGCAACACTGCCGTTTCGGGCAAAATCCAAGTTAGCTGTATAAGTTCAAAAAGGCGGACAACTGATTAATTATGAATATGGGCCGTTCTGCTTTTGTATTTCGGTTTTTGATTTTAATTAAACGTTCGCTCTTAGCGAATCAATCACACACATGGTGCAATAGCCGAAAACAAGAGAAAACCACAGCCACAGTAGTTAGCCGAAAAACAACATTCTGCTCAAATTTCCGTATGGAGCTCCCCATTAGCCGACAAACCGTGATTTTCTGTAATATTGTGCGCGGTAATTTAGCATTGTCGATTAGCACTTGGCGATACAAAATGTATGCATCAAAATATAAAGAAAAATCAAGCAAAAAACTGGTGCAGCCGGCTGGCAGCGATGTTGCAATCCGCAACGGCCTCTTGTCCATGTGATAAATAGCAAAACAAAACAAAAAAGTCTAGAAGTGATTGGACGGCCTGACCGACTGACATAGAAGTTGGGGGGAGAACGGTGGGGGGGAAGTCCGGCGGGGATGCCAGGAAAAGCTAAACCAGTTCCGCGAGTGTTAATCGCCGCTTAAATAGTTAAATACCTGACTGGCGGCAATTAAAGAAAACAACGCTACTCTTAATTGCAGCGGGGGTTGAAGCCGTTTCCACCGAGGGGTTAGGGTTAACTTAATTGATTTGAGCGAATCAGGGGCGTGTGTGTGGACGGCGGAATGTCAAGGAAGGTCCGCGATTTTGAAAGCTGCATTTGCCAAGTCAATTAAATCGATACCAGCATAACTCAATTATTGAATTACAGCTAATTTTTAGTAATTTGCAATTACAATGGAAAAATCTAAGCCCGTTTGGGATCCGTTTGTTTGTACTGCCTCTTTTCCTGGCTCGGTTTTGTCTGCAATTAAGGAAATATTTCAAGCCGAGCAAAACTAGAAAAGTGCTGGCAATTAAAATTTTATTGTTTTAATTTGTCAAAAAAATAATTATTCCGCCTTGTTCTAAATTTCATTTCCGTAAACTGGCTATTATATTTCGCAAACGTCTTAAGTGCCTTAAAAAATCGCCCAAACGCCTTAGGGTAGCCAATTTTCCCTGGCCTGGCTTTGTCCGCAATTAAGAAAATATTTTAAACAGTGCAAAACTGGACCAATGCTAGATTGTTTTTAATGTTTTCATTTTTCTAAAAATATGTGATTATACCGCCTTGTTCTAAATTTCATTTCCGCAGGGTATTTCCTTTTAAGTTCAGCGGAAACAGAATTAAGCACATGGTTAAAACTTGGCTTTTCATATTTTCAATCCATTATAATGGATTTTATATAATCAGCAGACTAGGCTAGCTAATCATTTTCATAAAAACTATATTCATATGTTTGTCTCGTTCTTATTATTTTCAAGCAGTTCAATAATGAAACCAATTTCCTGACGTAAACGATACCAAATAAAGTTTATTGACTTGTTATAAAATAATTATACAAATTTACAAATCGCCTTGTGTATGCGAGTGATTTCAACTACGGGGCGTTTTTAATGTTTGAGTTATGTGAACTGAATTGTATGTAATTTGGAAGGCCGAGTGTCGGGAAAGTCGATTTAAAAAACAGGTGCTATTTTAGATAAGTCTAATTCTCGCCATGTTTGCCCGGAGGGATTATTTTTTTGCATAACAGGTAAATACGAGTTTAAGCACCCAGATGTCTCAACTACGCCACTGGGCAATCAGGGCTCATCCATCATTCTCGTACTTGCGGCACCAACAAGACATAGGCATCCAAACAGATGGGGGGAAAACAATGCTCATTTGTCGCCTGGCCTGCTAAGTACGTCAGCCATCATCATCGGCGGGGGGATATAGTCGTATGGGTTCGAGTAGTAGTCCGCCGATCGAGCGCCGAGAGCCCCGTCATGCCGCTTGTTCATTAATGAACCGAGTCCGCCATTAGGCCGCCAGGTGAACTCACTGACCGACTGGGTGTGTGGGTGTGGCCAGCAGTGTGTAATTGCTGGTTTCGGGCAGAACCGCCGTCTGAGCCAAACAATTTCATCTTTCTGACGCATGGTAGCCGTGTTGCAAGATTTATTGAAATCTCTGCCAGCCTAGTGTCGGCAAATGACTGGCAAAATTGTCTATTACACATGTGACGTAATTCGGGAATGCTCTCGATGGCAGCCAGTGAAGCGTCCCCAGGCGGACTTTGTCGATGATGGCGGCCTGCTCCATGATGATTCAGATATGGGCTGGCCCAGAAACGAAATTTCCGCCTCTTTTAACCGGGTCACAGAGTCCGGAAGAGACAGCATCGCATCTCAACAATGTCGCCGTTGATTGCATCTAATTAAGATTCACTTTCCTAGAGAGTCTCTGGCAGAGATTTTCACTTTTTTAGGTGCGTGCTAGTTAATTGAATTTGGGGAGGAAGGAGGGGGAAGCCCGAAAGTACAAAGACCAATCTTTGGATACTCTAGCGGAATCGGGGAAATTACAAAAGGCATAAGTGGTGATAACTTTCAACAAATTACATCATATATGGCCCATAATTTATGTTCCCAAAAACTTCCGTAAGCTTTTAAGCAATTTTGTTAAGTCATAAAGACTTTAGAAATATTTAATATTGGTTGGATTGTCGTTTTCAGTTTCTTTGAATGTTGTTGCTCACCTTCTACATACATAATTCCCTTATCAATGATATATGAACTAGTAAATGACAATATTATACATTTTTAAGAAATATTTTGTGATATTGAAGGTATTTCCCGACCTTGTAAGTGCTTAGGTGCTTCCGGCAGTAGGTAATAAGGTAACTTTAAGCTTTCTCGGATGTTGAAAGTCTAAGACGTAGGTGTAAATCAAGTGTAAATTTGACCGATTAAAACCACTATTATGCCAGACGCCGACAGTGATTATTAAGCAATTTGCATTGCCCTCTTCCTGGCCAACTGACGTGGGTCAGCGACTAGTGTTTTAATTTCACATATTTTATGCCATTTGATTAAGGAAAATTACTAGCGATGAGCGTCATAAAACCAGTTTTCTCACACTATCTGGGTGAGATCCATTAGGAGGAAAATAGTGTATACTTAACACGCATTATAGTGCACTTGCTGGCGGAGTCAAAGTCGGAGCTATAGCGACCACTAAGCGCAATTAAATTTAATTGTTGCTCTGTGCCGGTATTTGCTTAGCTCGGCTAAGACCGAAAATTCCACCAATCTATGTCGCTGCATTTCCAACTGCATGTCTTTTTTTTTGGGGTTTCGGCGGGTATCGAGAGGTGCTCTACTTAGAACCGACATGTATGGCCTTTACAACCAGTTTTCAACCGGCGGTAGAAGGAAGTTCAAGCCGATTCCGGAACCAAATGGAATTTCATTCATAATTACCGGGCTTTGTGTGCCCACCGCCAATCAGTTTATCCAATGATCTGTCATAATTCGATCTATCATGCGAAGCCATAGTTTATCATGTCTAAGCTGGCAAGCAGTTTCTTGTTTTCGTGATTTTTATCGGGGTGCAAACAAAAGACTTAAGACACGAACCTGCCGCACCGACAAGTGCGCGGGCGTGGGCGCAGCGCAAAAGTTCGACAGTCATCGCCGCTGATGGTTTCTCGAGTAGTGCGCACCCCAGCTGCATTAATGAGTGAATCCACGTATCACATTAGCTAAGTTCCTAGAGGCATTTCGAATACGCAAACTCAATCTCGACTACATCGTTTAAAGTGAATTATTTGAAGCCGAGAGTGCAATAAAAATAATGTCCATCTGGGTGGTCGGGGAATAGAAGCTGGGACGTAAACAAAATTAACTGGCCATCTGTAAGCGCGGAGCACATCTCGATTTATACTTTTGTCGCGCGGTTTGTTGAACTTTGTTTTTGCGAAAGCAATTTAAATACAAATACAGCATAGAGAATAAGGATGAAACCGGTATCTGTAAAAGTCAACAAATCTGCCATATGAATACTATATATAAGCACACATTCTAAAATTTTATTGGCGATGGGCTTTGTGTGGCTCTGCAATAGGTTGGCCAATATTTGCCAAATAATGATTCACACCGCTGGGCAAAGTTTGGAGCTTGTGTAATCCCCTCATCGAATTCTGCCGATTCACGATGATGATGATGATGTCTTTTCCAGAATTTTTGGTTTTTTGCCAAGCTGTCTCCTCCAATCTGTTTGGACTTTGGCCGAGCAAATATGGCAGCTGAAAACGTATTGTATTTGCCATTACATAAAGCCGGCTAGCTGGCTTTGGTCAGTTTGCGTAAGCCACAGCACAGCTCAGTACAGCATCCCAACACTTGGCCAAATGCTGACCCTTTTTCGCTTTCTTTGGTTCACACGCGCTGGCCACCAAATGCTTTCCCTAAAAACCCACAAAAATGCTTCCGTCAGCAGCGGCAAGTGTAAAGCGGCATTTGTAATTGTTGTTTGCGGCCGCTGCTGTTGCGCGTTACATTTTAACGCTTCATTATGTGCCATAAAGTCCAGAGGGCCAGACAAATGAGCTGAAATTTACAGTGCCCATGACTTGGGCAGTACCCGATGCTGAATGCCCCGCAAACGCCGCCGATGAGTTGGCCATTCACCATTCATATCCATCATCATTGTTCGATGGCGATGTCGATGTGGATGTCGGTGTCGCCATCCACGGCAGCAACTCCCCATCTACATCTATGTGGATCTGACCCACAAGACGGTGGCCAAGAGACTAGGGGAGTAAGTGAGTAAGCCGTCGGACTGGGAACCTTTTGCCGGACAATGATTGTTTTTAGTCGCCCTCGCCTGCGACAAATTGTCGCCCTAATGTGTTGCCGGTGACTATGTAGTAAGCGATTGGCAGTGAGACGGCCACTTTGGCCATAATCGCAGCTTACTGGGTTGGGCAAG